GATTCCAGCATCTGTATGCATTCTGCTGGTTCCCGCTCTTTTGTATTCATTGAATCATAATCTTCTCTCTGTCTCTCTGTCTGACTGTAAAATGTACTCTACTTCCCCGGAGATGCAACGTCCCAAGCACGCACTAGATCCACAAGCATACGTCGCAGAGATGATACGAAATTTCTTGCTCGAGCCGGGCATACCCAGATCGTTCACCATAATCCACTGCCTCGTAACCACATAATCACAGCTTTCGTTGCGTGGGCTACTGCATCTCCACTTCCATCCGATTCAAGCTCTTAGGATCCTGCCCGTCCTCTTTGCTCTTAGGGAAGGCTAGATTCGAGATTCCCGCAGTTACTGCCGCCATTCCAGTGGAGGCTGCACTTAAAGTATCTTTCCCAGACGATCCAGCGCCGAGAGAATGATTAGCGGTTTCAATTCCGGTCAACACTGGTGATGGCTGAGTACTAGTCGCATCACGCCCAATGGGTGGCCTAGAACCAGAGGACCGCACGCCGTTCATCTCCGCATCGGTGCGACCAAACGACTCACTCCACCATCTGACCTCGTTGATTCGGGGGAAGATCAGTCGCTCCTGCCCACGCTTGTGGTCGTCGATCTGAGGTTCGTACTGTGGATTGGTAAATTGCTCCCTCCGCGCCAGAAAGTAGTCCCACACGCTCCGAGTTCGTTCCTTCGCGTTCCAATCTGCGCGTTCTTTCTCACTGTTGAAAAGAAAGGTTCCAAATTGGCATGAATAGAGGTGGTATAAAAGACGGCGCAGGAACCGCTCGTTGAATTCGAATCGGGTAGGATATTGGTACAGCAACTGATACGTTGCATCAAGGAATTGATGGAAGACTGGACTCGTCTCCTTCACCTTGGTAACCTCCTTGTCGGCGGCGGCGGTTCGGGGTATAGCATTGTTAGGCTTCTTCAGATTTTCTGCGTCGTAGCTTTGCATCTCCCCATCTGATTCTCCAATTGCGTCGCGGCTGTTGTTATCTCTGTTAAAGAATCCTTTGGCGCTTAAGAACGCATTTTCAAGAGCTCTGCCTGCACCACCGCCTTCGCCAAACCCACGGTTGGAATCACCCCCAATCCGCTCGTTCTCGATTTGGAACCACTTCTCACTGTTCAGATGTCCTGATCTGTGTCGGAACATGTGACCGAAGGATAGCCAATCTTTCTCCACCAGTACCATAAAGCCTTCCATCGTCCTATAGTAAGGATCGAGGCAGATCTGGCTCAGTGCACTCAACTGACTCGTACGATCCCATCCATCGGAACAGTGAATCAAGACGTGCGAATGCTGGAGACCAACCTGCCGAGCGATCAGCCGAGCACCGTCTAGAATCCCGGAAATGTGCTTCAGCCAGCCACTCCGTGCAAGCTGGTCTTTATTTGGGCCCAGTGGGGTTACATCTGAATCCTTGAGCGCATCAATCACCTTGCTCAAAGAGTCTCTCATCACATGGATATTGTCAATTCCAAGGTAAGCCTTGGTGGCAAATTTGTAGTTGTCCATGTTCTCCGATCCAAGTCCAACAGCTTGCATGGCGAAGGCATTGACCGTGGGACGAGCATCAACAATGAGATTGTGCTGCTGGGCACCATAAACTTGGGCTTTTCCCTCCGGATTCTCACGGACAGGGCTCAACAACTCATCTTCCAAGTCATCAGGGACAGTCAGATCAGCCAGCATATGACTGCGTGAGGCGTTCCCTGGGGTCGAATTGGAGGAATCCGAATCGAAGCCAGGCGGGGTGAAGCTTGCAAGAGGTCTCTCTGAGCGCGAGGTTGAAAATATGGCCGCTAGCAACGCTTCGTCTTGGATGCTGCGGTTTTGTCGCACACCGACAAGAGGCTGTGAGCTCCGTGTGATTGAGCAGTTGTTCACCGGATGAAGATATGTAAGAACCGGCACTCTCGCTCGGGACCGATACTTTCCAGCGTGATTAAGGGTATTGTCAGAAATGGCCGAGGGGACCGGTAGAAGAGCTGGATAGGTGGCAGAAAACTGGAAAGTCAGAGTCAACACAACAATTCACATGATATTTTGCGTGGAAATATACCCCATAGTCTGTATTTAGCTGAGAGATCCGCCATCCAGAGCCAGCCTGATCGACGCCTTGTCTAGCCCATTCTTTGCTAGGATTGTACAGTTCCCAGCCATTGAATTTCTGTTCAGGAGGGGGAGGGCGGTATGAGAAAGCGTAAAGCTTATCAATGCGGCCCACTTTACAGGTCCAGCATTTGATGGTTTCGTAAACATCACGCGCCTTGCTCTCCGTGGTGAAATAGAAGCAGACAAAGGTGAAATCGCGGCACCGGAGACGAATGGAGGACGGCTGGCGGGATGCGGCGGGGGTGGGGCGGCAGGTGCACAAGGAGATTATGGGGTATGTAATCCAAAGCTCTTTGGGCCGACCAGAAGGGCCCGGAGCCTGAGACGCATCGGTGGAGGAGGAAGGAGGAGGAGGAGTGTGGGAGAAGATAATATGGTGAGGGGTGAGGTGGAGAGTGCCGACCACTTGCTCGCCTCGGCGCGCCAAGGTCACATCTTCAACCTGAAGCATCACAGAAGTCGTTAGTCGGGATATCTCATCGTGGGTGCGCTCTACTGCTGGATTGAAGCACTCAAATAGCACTGACCTTAGCAACCCGTGTTCTCTCCATGCCTGGCCGGTTACTCGGTCTGCATCAAATTCATGACTGAACACACACCGATTGGGCACCACGGACTTGCAGCACGGTCAGCGACTACTGGAGCTGCAGACCCGTGAAACGAGAAAAATCAAACGAAAGAGGAGAGCGCAAGAAATCAAAACGGTTCACAATATGTAAATGGAGAGGAACGAGGCTTAGAAGTGAAAGATGACAGGCGACATTTTCAGCAGTAACAGCAGCACGGACACTCGGCCAAATGCGGAGCCCCTCGCTAGTCTGAACGGAAGTTGAACCATCCATCACTTCTCCAAAAAAAAAAAAGCCTTAAAGCCAGACTCCAGTCTGCCAACTACGTCAGTCCCGCCCGGGGATCCTATGGTTTGGTCACTCCGGTTTCTCTTTATTCTGTAACCCCCATCACCATGTTTTCTGCCTCTGACTTCTGTTCTTTCCTGCACCCTAAGATTCCCGGTTTCACTGGTAATTCTTACGTGGCACTCCATTCACTTCTACCCCCTGAAATCTCTGAGTCTGATGAATGTTTCCCCTCATTAGGGCAGCTATTGCTTGTGAGGGGTTGCCATTTTGGGAAACTCATCTGATCTTCAGGGTCAAGTGCTGCTTCTCATAACACTTCATCATCCTCTACTACTCCTATCATGCTGCTGGCGGAACAATTGTTCTTCATCTGATCTATTTCAGTGTTACTATTTACCCTTGTTCTTTAATACCATTCCATACCACATCCAATCTATTATTTCCATAGACATCCTTGTCACCTGACCAACAATATCTAATTTACCCTTTTTTTTATTCGAACCAACCAAGAAAATATGCCAGAACTATACTGTCCTATACCGCCCAGGGATAAGGACATATACCGCTTCCGGCAGCAATTTGGAGCGAGTCTGGGATCTTTCTTTGTACTCGGTCCGCGTAATACTGCTGACGAGCCAAATGAACTACAGCTACTCAAAACGTAGGTACTAGAAAACACATGACATCCTCCCCATATACAAAATCCCTACCCTATAGGTACTAAACCGCGGTATACCACGACCAGATCCATAGCATCCACCGGACTCGAGCAAACCAAACAGAAATGGGAATCCCACTGGCACTCCGCATTGACCGACAATGACCTTGCCTGGCTCAAAGATGTAGCGCACTGCCGAACCCTCCGCTTACCATTGAGCTTCTACTCCCTCGGACCCGTATTCAGTCGGGGAACATCCTTCGAAGGGGATCCAGCAGAAGTGTACCACCAATGTTGGAGTACCGTGAAGCATCTCATCGAAAAATGTTGGTTCCACGGTATCGGCATCCTCATTGACTTCCAGGCCAGCGCCAGCGGTATAAACCTCTGTGCCAGTGCCAAAGATCGAACAATAGCCCGGGACTGTGTCGCCTTCCTTGCGCAGGAGATAACCTTTCATTCTATGTCCGGGGTAGTCGGACTCTCCGTATCCTCCGGATGTGAACCCGCCCCAGACATGTGCGAATGCTACGACGAGATCATCCAAATAGCCAATGCCATTGATGCATCTTTGCCTGTATACATCAACGACAACCAGGCACAATGCAACAAACGGGTTTTCGAGGGTTGCGAGACCAATATTTCTCAATTCAGGAGCGACATCTTAAATGGTAAAGTCCAAATACCTAGTCAAATGACGCTACCCGAAATAGAGGTCCGAGCGAAAACCAACCAAGCCAAGGCCGAACGATCACAGTTCCAGGAGAAGGCTTTGTCGCAAGTCTCGGAGTCTTGGGGCTCGAATAAACGTCAAAGCTTCGTCCATGGCTGGAACTTGGGATACGATGATGCGTTGCGATTCTTTGGCGCTGGTGTTCAAGGTATCTTGGCACCGCGGAAAGGTGCGGACAAGATCTATGATACAGAGTTGTGGGTTCAGCAGCGCAAAAGAGATATAGACCCGGAGCAGCTTGAGGAAAATTCGGAAGCATGGGAGGATGGTCTTCGGAGAGGGATTAACGATTTCTACGACTTTATCAGGATTTGATTTCAGAAAGCAATCATCGGTCGATAATAGAAAGTAGTCTTTTTATGTCTTTGATAAAGCGCAATGAGTGATAGTGGAGATGTTACTACTTATGCATTGACTTCTCAAGACCGCGGCGGAAATATATTTCGTGATCAAGAACAACGGTACTTCACCATCAGACATCAGGACTACTAGCAGCTACTATAAAATACACAAAACTGAAGTAGAGGGGCATAGTCTTCTCAATTACAAGTTATATCATACTGTACATACATCATCAATATAAAAATCTATTTATACAATCGAACACTGCTTCCCCGCCAGCCTAACTCAAATAGTATCATTCCAAACAGCCCCCAAGCGCCTCGCTCTATCCAACTCGAAAGCCAATGCGCAAGAAGTGTTATAGAACGTGTGGAACTCGTCTTTGGACGCAGCAGCATCCCGCGACACATTCTCGGAAGAAACATCAACGTTGGAATCAGCCGACGCAGAACCGTCCGTCATATCCATGTTCAGGAACAAGTCCGTGGTACGGTACGGGTTGAACGGGCCGCTCTCGTAAAAAGCATAATTGAGCTGCTGGCCACGGAAATCGTACTTGTGAATACGAGTTCCCCGGATGTCGCTGACGGGGAGGAAGATGTACTCTGCGGAGCCGTCGGCGGCGTCCTGGGGAAGGATATCGCGGGGGAGAGTGACTTGTGTGAACGGAGGAAGAGGGAGTTCTCTGTCTGTTGTGGAGGTGCGGGAGAAGAGGCTTCGGAGGGATTCCTCGATGTTTGAGAGAGAGAAGGAGTTACTGTCCTGGGACTGGGGGAGGAGCTCCCGGGTGAGTTTGCGGGTGAAGCGGAGGTCAAGTCCGTTCTCGGGGAGGAGGTAGTCGACGTTGCTTTCGGAGAGGATGAGTTTTGCGCTGCGCATGGAGAAGTCAGGGGTTGCATCTTCGGGTGTGATGCTTGTCTTGGCAGTGACTTCTAGCTCGAGCTGGGGGAAGACGTTGGCGTTAAGAGCTGATGGGACGAGTCGGAAGCGGTAGGCTTGTTGGTGCTCGTCCACTGGTTTAGGGGTGAGCGTGCGGAGAAATTGCGCTGCGCGAGGGATGTCGGTGGTGAAGGTCCTTGGGAGTGACATTCTGCCGAGCTGAGAAGCGTTGACCGAGCTCTCTTCGAAGAATGGCTTGCGTAAGAAGAGGCATTTGCCGACGGCTGCCGTGATAGATTCATGGAAGTCGGCGCCGGTCTCAGAATGTGCCTGATGAGTGACGGATGATTTCTGTCGAAGTAGCTTGAAAAGCTCGTCGGATACCCGAGTTTGATGGTTATCGAACATTACCGTGTCCGAGGGCTTCACCTCGTCAGACTGCGTTGCTGGTGTGGCCCATCGGAACCACGCCTTTTGCCTCTCGAACCATGACGTGTTGTTCTCAGGATCAATGTCATGGACGCTGGCTGGCTCAGTTGAGGGTAGGTATGTGCTGAACGGTACAGCAGGAGCAGTTCCACTGTAATAGGCAAGGTGCAGGGCCCTACGGGCATTATCTGCATCCTGTTTGTCTTCGGCAAGATAGTAGATTTGGCTTGGCGTATGTGGTGTATTTTGTTCGAATGCGACTCTATAGGTTTTGGTCACCCACGAGAGGAACTCTGGAGTGTAGATGCGGTTGTTGACTTTCGTCTTCGTTTCGTCAGGTGGCAATTCAATGCTTTCTTGTCGAACCCTGGCTATGGCATCGTGTACAATCTCACTGATTGATTCGCAGATACGTTGCATTCCTGTGATCCTCACAAGACCAAGCGAATGCGTAACATCAATCTTTGCGTCGTGCATGTTGGCCAATTCTTCGAAAGAGAAATGCTGCGAACTGAGGAGCAAAGACAGTATATGCGTCGGCAGCTGTATATCTAGTTGACCGACTTCATCGAGGACTCCGAGATGCCAGCAGTCACGGAGTATTCTTTCAGCCAGTAAAAATTTTCCCTTGAGACCTTGCGACGCTGCAACTCTATCGGCGACACCTTTTCGGGAAAGATAACTGCTGTCGAGAAACTCAGAGACTCCGGGCGTCCAGCGTGTGGGCGTCGTCTCTGGTGTTCCGTCCCTGTCCAACTCATTCTCCTTCCATTCTATTATATAGTCCAATAATTGCCGGTAAGTAAATGACGCCTGGAATTCGTTTCGGAGCGCCGTCCAATCGGCAACGGGCAACTTGTGATGAGGTTCATAATCGAGACGGAAACTTTCGACCCGAGTTTTGAGCAGCTCGCTATCAACAACTTGATCGTCATTGTCGATTTCCCTCAAAAAGAGAGGAAGGGCATTTTCGTCGGTGACCTCCTTCGGCTCATCCTTGGCTATGCGTAGTCGACGGCGTTGCCGGTCCTTGACCACTACTACCTCACCAGGATTTCCAAGCGAGCTCACAGAAATGGGTACTTTTTTACCCAGTCTCCGTTTGAGTCGGTGGTGCTGGAGACGGTTGTGACCAGGGGTACGGCGCGAAGATACGTGTTGCGGCGGCCTCTCGTCGTGATTCGCATCAGTTTCGGTGGATTCGAACCGGATAGATACATTATGCCGGCGCAAGGAGGGAGGGAGTAAGCTTGCTCTGCATTCTGGGAGCAGCCGGCAGCCTAGAAGACTTGCTGCACTGTTGGAAGATCGAGACAGCATATGGACCACAAAACCAAATGCACCAGACCGGAGTTCAAGAAAAGCCCGGGATGGAAAGTTGAAGCTCAGATTGATGCAATCTGAACTACCCGCTAGTCCACAAGTGGATTAGCTCATAATGTGGACCCACCCCGAGCAGTTCCTCGATTATCGATATGGTTATCGGAGACTACGCTTACATGGGGCAGTTATCTACCCCAACATTCTGGTGCCATAAGTGAGAAACCAGACATATTGAAGAACAGAGGCACGAGTAAAAGTCATAGGGGTATTATCCAAGAGACTGCTTAACGCCACAAAGCACCATACTGAATCACTCCTTGTTCATGACCTCCCAACTTCGCAAATCCTCGCGCACATCGAACTCGGACAGTTCAAATTCCGAACCACGATTCTTCCAAGCCTTGCCTTTGGGATTGTCATACAGTTGCTGTTCTATGCTTCCGCTTTTCCGTGTATGATCAGCGGCTGGGGCAAAGTCTGTTCCTTTCACATCGTTGCGATAATGATTGCTTGAAGAACTCCTTGGTCGCCTCTCAAAATTCGAAGGAGACAATCGATTGTCTGATGAAGCTTGCCTTACGCTTGAGCGCCCATGTGGTGACAGTCGATCTGCCTGATTCTCGACTGATTTCTCTGCACGGGCATCATGCCCATCTGCCCAGCTAATGCTACCGGAGAACAGTTCTTCGATCAGCTTGTCGGCCGGTAAATCGTCCGCCCGCGAATTCCAAGACGCGGCCAGTGTGCGACGGTACATGTCTTGCATATCTGTCACTTCGCGGCTCTGGGTGTTTATCGAGGGAAGCCGGCCCAGATCGTCGTGTTCGCCCTGTTCCGAGGACACAACCCCAGCGATTCCGCCAAAGACCATGGCTGATTTGAGAGGCGGCCTGAATGTCATCAGCAACATGCTCCTCGAAAGTATTGCAGCGCATCCCAGTATAGTATACGACATACGTAATGTAGTTCCGATCCCCTTCGACCTGGCGTGTAGCTATACCAACTTTAAGTGTACTGTTGATCTTGCTATCCTGCATCAAGTATCTCCGGACGATGCCCTCGTCATCGTCACTCTTATCCACATATTCGGAAAGATTGAGTCTGATCCTCCCTAGCAGATTCTTCTCACTGTTCCCCCCTGACGCAAACTCTTGAATGACTTCGAAGTACAATTCGCATTCGTGTAAAGTCTGGTTGCGGTCAATGGTGAGCCTGACCTGCAGGACCTTCTCATAGTTCCAATATGCCCGATGATCTATGATGATCGCCTTATCTGTGTGGCCGTGGTGTTCAGGCGCACTAGATGACGGTAGGCGCCATTTGACGAAAGCGGTACCGCTCACGAGGGGGACATTATTGAGGTCAATGATCTACAACCACCATAGCAGTTAGTTGGTAGGTCATTTGCAATGTGATCAATGGTTCTTACTCTGAGTATTAACTCAAACCGAGGCTGCACCTGGAATTGGCATCTTCAATACTCCCATGGATCGAGCATGATCGACTTACTCTCCGGTTCTTGGGGACTAGAGGTGCATCATTAGCGCAATTGCCAGAAGACATGTCATCCTGTTGGGTGACCCGATTTGTTTGATGAGATATAGAATGGGTAACATACCGAAGGCCTGCATGATTGGCAAGCCCGGAGCGAAGTAAACAGACCTGTATCACCTGTCTTTCATCTATTCGAGTGACCGGGTAGCTTCACGACATCCTGAGAGGCGCTGCCGGTCGAGGCCCTCCCCGAACCCCCACATCCGGAGCCAAGGCGGCGAGCTTCCCCCTGACGGCAGGAACTGACCGCCTGAACGTATCTAATCAGGATCACGTACGCGCTAACGTTCGAGGCTTGCAAAATTGAACGCTTTGGTGGATATTTAGAGGCAGTATAGACAGCCTCCAAGTACTAGTACTAACTGTAAGGACAAGCCAGTTATTGCTGCGAGCCGTAAAGGAAGCTCATTGGAATACAAATGGAGCTGCGGGGCACCGTCTCGGATCAGGTGACCATTAATGGCGGTGAACCGGCAGATGGCAGTAATGGCAACTGACAAAATCCCAGGAACATTCAAGAACTCTCATCACCTCAGTTTCCAATAACCTGCGAAATCTCACTATTTTCTGGCACAATTTACCCTATTGAACTCGACTTTTGTATATGGTTGTCCAGTAAACGCCCGTTCTCAACAGCCTACATCAATATGGATCAACAACTCCCTCTCTCTCCGCCTTCTGAGCCGACGCCTTCTCCCACAGCCAAGGCGGTCCCGCAGGACTCCCCTGTCCGCACCACTGCGATTCACGAACTGCTACCTGAGATTCGTATTCCGGGCGAACCATTACCGCCGCACAAATACCATCCAGTTACTTGCACTCCCATCGACGAAGAAGAAATACGCTCCCAGATTGAACAACTACGCCAGGAATATCCGACACCAGAAGCGGCCCTGAAGGCGCAAGAAGAAGCTGCCAGGGAAGTGAGGCAAAAGCTGGAAGATGCCGAGAAGAAGCGCGAAGAAGTGCAGAAAGCTATGGACAAGAAGATCAAGGAACGCAACACAGAGATGAAGGTCTTGTCCAAATACCAAGAAGTCAAGACTTCGAACATTGCGTCTTAAATACTGTGTTCAGTCAGATAAGCTTTACACAAACCATGCAGACATATTCATACATGGCCATCAACAAAAGGGCGCCGCCAGTCTTCTCAGAGGAGACAAATACAATGAGAGATGAATCATTGTGCGACCTGGAAACTCGGACGACTAGCAGATGGCGCCGAGCAGGTTGAACTCCTCTTTGAGCCGCTCTACTGGAATTGGCACCCAGTGATGGGATGAATAAGCCATACCGTGTGCTCGGCTTCATTCAGGATTGTTTTCTCCAAAAACCCGGCGTGACAAATTTGAATACGGTTCGGCTTCGATGGAGATCTCTTCTACGGCTCGGAAAACATACTGGCAAATCGAGCTACTTCCTATACAAGGCTTGGAGGCAATCAGGAAGTGTTCATCTAAGAACACCGCGATGAGTTGATCTTGCGATTACGGCAAAGCCAGCTCCACACCGGGAACGGCGTTAGGAGGTCTTATGACTATGGATGTGCTAATATTAAGACGTCGTCTGTACTTGACGTTGAACCGGCAGCAGAAGCGTCGTGAACATTGAATGCATCAACATCAAACACATAATTACTCATAGGATTAAAGTAGACTCGTTGTCCATCAGATCGTATATCCTTCAAATATCACGCCTCATTACATTCACAGCGATCCCAAGACCTTAACCAAAGCGGGAAGCAACTATGAAAAGTTAGTCTGTGGCTCACTGTGCGGTTGTTGTTTAGAAGAAACTTACCTCGGAAGCGTCCTCAACGAGTACTTGCGTTTCGTTGACAAACTTCGAAGTCAACAAGTCGTTGGCATTTCCAAGGAGACCGCCGATTTCGCCAAGCATTTCGGGTGTAAGGATAGGCGCAACTTCACTCAGGATCGGCGAAACTTCGTCGATGAGGTTGCTCGTCTCATTGACGAAACTAGGTGTCAACAGGTTCGTTGCGTTACCCAGCAAGTAGTTCACCTTCGTGAGGAGAGCAGGAGTGATTGCAGGTGCCACACTATCGATCAGATTCTGGGTCTCTTCAACGAACTTGGTGGTCAAGAGCTTGTTGGCGTTGCCGAGAAGTCCGCCGACCTCGCCGAGCAACTCAGGTGTGATGACTGGCGAGAGATCGTCGATCAATCCTTGCGTCTCATTAACAAACTTCGCTGTCAATAGGGAGTTTGCATTGTCGAGCAATCCTGAGACCTCTGATAGCAATTGAGGTGTGATGACCGGTGAAAGATCGCCAATCAAGCTACGGGTCTCCTTGACGAAATCGGTCGTCAGTAGGTCGTTCGCATTGCCAACCAATGTCTGGGTCTCATCAACGAATCCGGTAGTCAGCAGAGAGTTGGCGTTGCCCAAGAGACTGCCAACTTCCTTTAGAAGAGCAGGTGTCAAGACTGGAGCCACGGCGCCAATCAAGCCCTGAGTCTCGTTGACGAATGTCGGTGTGAGCAGGTCATTGGCATTGCCCAACAAGCCAGCAACCTCTGCGAGAACAGCTGGTGTAAGTACAGGGGCAACGGCGCCGATCAAGCTCTTGGTTTCCTTCACGAAGTCGGTGGTCAACAGGTTATTAGCGTTGCCCAGGACAGAATTGATCTCCTTGAACAATTCGGGGGTCAGGTTAGGAGCAACAGTTTCAATCAAAGATTGAGTCTCATTGACAAAGCCTGGTGTCAAGAGGCCATTGGCATTGCTGAGGACCGAGTTGATCTCCTTGAACAGCTCTGGTGTCAAATTAGGCGCGACTGTATCAATCAAAGATGTCGTCTCCTTAACGAAGTTTGCAGTCAACAAGCTGTTGGCATTAGTCAATAGCGTGTTGACCTCCTTCAGCAGTTCTGGAGTCAGGATCGGGCCGACCGCGCTGATGAGCGACTTCGTTTCCTTAACGAAGTCTGCAGTCAGGAGATCATTGGCGTTGTTGAGCAGCGTGCCAACCTCACCAAGTAGGTCTGGTGTCAGTACAGGAGAGACAGCTTCGATAAGCTCACGTGTCTCCTTCACGAAGTCGGCTGTCAGCAAGTTGTTTGCATTGCCAATCAGGCCGTTAACCTCCTTGACAAACTCAGCAGTCAAAAGGTTGTTGCCATTATCAAGCAAGGTAGAGACCTTCTTGAACAATTGTGGCGTGACGAGCGGGCCAACCGAGTTGATCAGTTGCTGGGTCTCGTTCACAAAGTTCGGTGTCAATAGGCTGTTTGCATTGTTGAGGAGACCGGTCAATTCAGTGATCAACTGCTTGGTGAGCAGGTTGTACGCAGTGTCGATCAATGACTTCGTCTGGTCGGTAGTCTTGTCATCGAACAGATATGCAAAGTGGTTGAAGAACGACTCCACATTCTTCAAGAATGTTGGCGACAAGAGACCCAGGAGGCCATCGAGGCCATCACCAATGTCCGTCAAAAGATTTCCGGAAGAGCCGCCTGCGGATGATGAAGAACTCGTCGTTGCAGAAGACGCGGTGTCCTGCGTGGAGGTGGCAGACTGACCAAGACCTGCTGCTGAGGGGGATGCGGCAGCAGTGCTGCTTGCTCCAGCATTTTGGCTGGACCCACCACCAAGAATTCCACCCACCAGTCCACCAAGAAGATCTCCTCCCTGTGACTGGGTGGCGGTTGTTTGGCTTGTCGATTCCGGAGCTGCGGCTGTTTGCTGTACGGCACTGGGGGTGGTTTGCTGGCCAGCTACATCGACAGATGGCTGCTGGTTACTGGTGTCTGTGTTTGTGTTTGTGTTTGCGTTTGACTGCTGAGTGGCAGCATTCGCGTTTTGCTGGTCGGCACTAGCATCGTTGTCTGGCTGCTGCTTCGTACTGGCCGTCTGCTCGGATGCACCAGTTGCTGCCGCCGACGCTGCCGCCGCCGCAGTTGCCTCTGCTGCTGCAGTTGTTTGAGCTGCAACATGTTCCTCTGGCGCTGGGCTCCCCTGTGTAGAGATGGCCACGGATGAGGAAACCTGGGCCGGAGTTGCCAGCGAAGTGCTGGAAAGCAAAAGGGCGGAAAGAAGGGCCGACGAGACGCGCATGTTGAGGGTGCTCTCCACCAGGGAATGCCAGCAATTGACGACGGACGGGTCAGGGTCCAGATCAATGCAGACGGCAGGGCTCCTTTTATGCCTGCAGATACACGGCAGCCACCCGCGCTCTCCACATCGATCCAATATCGAGACAAGGCCGAGGGCTGTCCTTAACCCCACATGTGAAATGACTAGGACGTGCTGGGGCGTCTCATAATAGCCATACTACCGAGACCATGCGGATTGGCCTCGTCCTAACCTAACGGGGATAATTCCTTTTCGGTCCCTGGTCAAGGACAACGTGACGATCGTCCGTATTGGACCACCAGATGAGTACCCGAACTGGCTACCCACCGCAGGGGAATGCTCCTCTGATCCAACCGAGTAGATGGTTTGATCTGGAGCAGCCTATGCTTGTCGGAGTGAACCGTGCACCTTAAGCTGCGTTAGGGGCACTTAGCCTTGCGGGGGGGCGAATGAATGGGAAGGGAAATTACGAGGTGCACTTAGGATCATGGTTTGGCTCCCGATATGGGCTTATTTTTCCGCTCTAACTTCCTGGGTACCTCGGTGATCGACATCAAAGCCCATCATTTTGAGTCAAGCGAGCATCTGACAAAATTTGCCCTTGCGGCTATGATGCCATGTCGCAATTGACTCCGCGGTGGGTGTTGACACCCAAACAGTGATTGGATGTGCCTTGGGAAACGAGAGTCCTAGTTCCTGGCTAAGGGGTGTGACCTGGGAGGCCCACTCTTTCGACTGTTACCCAGTGGCAGTGTTCGCCGTTCACGTTGGTTATCAGGTTGGAAGCTGTGGGTGACTATCACCTAAGCCATCTACGGCAAATGTTCTCCGACTTGATTTTGCGGGGACGGGTGGAAACAATAGTAGTTTACCGGTAGAACCTGGGTCTCCAGTGATGGACGCAACTACAATGTACTCGCACGAGTAGTCGTTGGAATGCCCTCAGTGCAATGGCCAACATAAGTGCCCAACCCACCCGCAGCAGCGAGGTTGCACTCGGAGTCCGCGAAACAGCGCAAGGAGCAGTTGCCGTGCTGCGAGGTTCGGCAAGAGAGATGCTCGGTAACATGTGAAGTAGCAATGGCCCTGGCTACTGGAATTGGCGAGCGGGCAGTTGGCGATTTAGGTTTCCCCCTCGGACTCGGTCTAAATTAGCTTGATGATCGACGGCGACCATCAAGCGGGGTTGGCGCCGTGGTTCCTCGACAACCACACGAAGGATTTCTTGGTCAAGCTGGGGAAGGAATGGGACAGGGCACACCCATAACCGTTGGTTCTGAGTTGGCTATCATCTATTGAGGATGGTCCCCTCCCGCATTTTCACATCGCCAGTCAACACAAGATCCCCCTCGGTCGCGAGTCATTCTTTTCAACGTCATGACAGTGCATCAATTGAAGAAAGAAACGGAATGTTACATTACTGGACCTGCATAATAAAAATTTCCACGATGCAGTGTGCGGGCTATGTTATGCAGATGGTGGTCCACACCCGCATTAACTTTGCGTGACTCCGAGGTATTCCCTCTCACCACCCGAACATCGCACCTCATCCTTCATATCCAGAGCAATGTCTCATCCTAGGATTTCAAGATTTCAAAAATCTGAGTTCAAAAGCCAATTGATCTTTCGCGGCTCCAAAAGATTGTGATCCGCAGCGACGACCGCACCAGCCACCACCGACCTTGGGATGTCAAGAAGATGAGACAACCAAGGGGGGCTACCCTATCTCTGGTAGATCGCATATTGCAGACTAAAACATTGTGCTACATGACACAGCGTAGACCTTACTTCCAGACTACCACGCTCTCAGAGGCAAATGCAGGAATTGGAACTGGCAAGGGGAAAGTCATTTGACGGCTCGGGCCCTACTTTCTCGATCAGCAAGGGAGGCCGATCTTGCCGCATCCAAAACGTGCTGACTTACTTCCATTTCTATCGTAGATAACCAGATAAGTTTTCTACCACGATGATAATTATAGACACTTTCTAGATCCCATGGAATCATCCAGGTACGAGAAGTTAATTCATTGCTATTATAGTTGTTCTGTTTATTATTTGCAGAATGGTGTGCGTGTGTGGTGGTGGTCTGGGTTGGGTTGGGCCCAAAAATCAGACCGGATCTACTTCCGCTCTATTTTGTAACGGTAGCCTGCTTCAGTGGATGGCCCAAATATGGAGTCAGTTGGATGATCTGCTACTTAATTTTTATCCCTAATTCTTATTCCTCTATTTCGGAAAACCCTGTTCTTTCCTTCCTGCTGCACCGTTGGTTATCACGAAGGGGTGGGTATATCTTTGAGGTTGTTTCAAGCTGCGATGCGAAATTCAGGGTCATCTTATCGCCTTTTCATTCTCTTATCTAGTTCTACTCGGTTCTAGATGCGTTGTCTATCTTTCTAAGTGCTTGATCCAACAACCTTAGGCGGAATATGCAACGGATTTTACGGGTCCTGTTCATTCCTTCACCGGGGCTCATCCGTCCATGCATATCAAAATGGAATACTTAGGAGCCGGTGTTTCACACATACCCTATTACCCGTTAAGAACTCACCTATATACCATCTCAGGCTAGGACACTGCTAGCTATAGCAGACTTTTCGGGGGTAGACGCACTAAATGAGTCCTCCAACACATTGCGTGATTTATTCATCGGAACGATTTTTGAGCAGACGGAAACTACTTGCCATTTTCTAACTGGTATATTCAACACTGATATCGTATACACCTGCCGCAGAATTTTCAGCAACTAAGTACTTGGCGATGGTCCTTGGTGTCGTCTCATAACAGCATTCTGTTCAATTCAATTCAAAATTCGCATTTTTTGTTCTTATACCTCATCGGGCTTGCTATGTAAAATGCTAGGTATACGAATTCTTCACCAATCAAAGCAAGAACCTAGCCTTGGACGCTGTCCTGTCTTTCTTGAACTTGCAGAAACTTGCAACAATGCATGCTACGGCGTAGGAAGGTCGCCGCCGCGGCTAAACAGCATGCTAAGAAATCCTAGAAACGAGTGTCGCAAATCGCTGGCCAGCTAGCTACCTGCCAGTCATCATCTTATCTCTCTCTGTCACTAACTGCATACTTTTTACTTTCCTATTTCTTCTGATAACTATGCGTAGCCTTTCCGCTGACTCGGTTTGGGCGTGTTTGGGTCCTCTACCCAGTGTCTTCGGCGTCTATTCCTATGATTCTGGGGCCTGCGTGTTCCTTCCTGACCTGGGTAGGGATCTTTGGGGACGGTGTCGAGTTCGACCTGCCTTGACTGTTCGAGCAGGCCTGTCTGCAATATGTACTGAGCGATGTAGCGGTTCGCCTGTGAAATTACCTACCAGTAAATCCCGGGAAGAGGTGCTCTGTCACCGTGGAGACGGGGAAGCCTAACTGTATGATTTAATCTACCTCTCTTTGCACATTCATTGAGCTGGTATTTGTGTTTAGGCATTTACTGCAGCCAGATAGGTGTCACTTTATCATTTGCCTCCTCCTCCTCCTCCTCCTCCTCCTCCTCCTCCTCTTCTTCTTCTTCTTCTTCTTCTTCCCACATGGTCTCCGACCACCACCTCTATCCTCCATCGAACCCAACCTTCTCGAGACCTAGCTAGATCAAATCTATTCGTCCCCTTGCCTTGACAGCTTTTATGCCCTTTTCCTCTCTTCTCTCATGTATGGTATTCGAGTTCGATGTCGTTCAGCGTTCCCTACCCGGAGTAGATTTACCAACTCGGACTTGGAAGAGTAGGATCTGATAGAATATGAAACAGCAAAGTTAATAGATACGAAGTGGTTCAGGCTTGATCATTACCCAACTGAGCTTTTCAACAGTCTAATTGACAAAGTCTCTCATTTTTCTTGCATGCTTAAAATGTGATAGAAGAAAGCATCGACGAGAGCTTTGCAAAGAAATTCCTCTTACTCTAGCATGGGATTTCCCTCCCTCTTCATTTCCCTTTCTGCTCTAATAGAAACGATCCGTATACATGGCTTGCGTCACGAGGATATAGGTAGGTTTGGGATGTTGGTATGATGTACCTGAGGTACTACGAACTAGGTCCAGATTGGTAATAAGTCTTGTTAACTCTGCCTCTACAGGTTCTAAGCTAGTTAGCTACACTATTTTTTTTCTCAGATAAGAAACTGAAGAAGCCTTCCCCTTCATCATATTCGAGTATCCGTCAAAAGGCATGCCAAATATCTGCCAGTGGTTATATGTCTCTTTTGTAGATGACAGGGACTAGGCATATTTTGAGTCTTTTCGATAGAGCAGTCAGCACCAGCAACTCATGTAGAAGTCATGCACTTCCCTATCCCGAGTGGACAGTACTACTCAATACACAATATCATTAGAGATAGGAACTAACTTGAGTAAATAAATTTACGAAGGAACCAAAGAATTCACCTTTGTTTGGTATTTGGCCCTAACTCTACACAAGTAAGTAGTGTGTTGTTTCGCTCAAACATTCATTGCGAGTACCTCAGCCTTCCAAATACATTATCACTCCATAATCTCCTATCAGAAATTATCTGGACGATTTTCATTTTCTGGAAAAGCTGAGATGGGGATATCTGCACGGCTGAAGGAGGGGCAGATCTATCCCGTGAAATACTAAAGTGGGGGGGTTCAGGCTGACGATCCATTAGTGGATATTATCAACCGCGATGATTCGACTCAGCTATTCAGCTGCTCAGCCGTACAGTTCACCCAGCAAATCCAATCCATTCTCCATTTTAACAAACGTGAGGGCCTAAGCGAAGTGGGGTTGAATACGATCTGAGTTGATGATTATGATATCAGTGACAAACTCAGCATGATGTTGGTAACTATCTATAAAACCCATTCATCTCCCTCCCGTCGCGACTGTGTCTTTCCTCTGAACATTTACCTCCCCTACTATCCAAATCGTGACTACTAGAAAACCAACTACTAGCACCACTTTTTCTTACCGCTATCCTCCACCCTCAAATCCAATCCTTATCAATAACCTTTCTGCATCATGCCTGTTCCTGCTATCGAGAGGTATGTCCTTTATCATCATTATAAACATCTCCTATCCTGATCAACTTCCAAATGAGTAACTGATCAATCTCTCTGTTCTACATTACCAGTCTTTCCGACTTCCAAGCCCTCATCAACTCGGGCAGTGTGGTAATCATCGACTTCTGGGCTACATGGTGTGGTCCTTGCAGAATGATCAGTCCAGTCTTCGAAGAGCTTGCCTCCAATTCTGCGCTCAGTACGACCCAGTTCGCCAAAGTCGATGCTGATACCCAGGATGAGATTTCTCAAGAGGTTGGAATCAGATCCTTGCCTACTTTCATGGTGTTTAAAAATGGCCAGAAAGTGGACGAGCTGGTGGGTGCTAGTCCCCAAGGCCTAAGCAAGCTTGTTGAGCGACATGCATAAATTTGGGTGAAATTATACTACTACTACTACTACTACTACTACTACTATGTTGTGCTTTGTGTCTTTGTGTGAAGCGATTTGAGATTGCTGGATCTGCATTCTGTATATTTTCTCAATCACTTGGTGGTTCTCTAGTCATTTGGTTATGTTGACAGTATAACTTTCGATTCTTGTAGCAGGAAGTAGACGTAAAGCACATAGGATAACTAATTTCATACAGTGGTAACGGAAGATAATTACTAATAGCTGTCGCTAGTGACAGTAAGTAGAAGCGTTGGATGATGCACTTAGCACTATACACTCTAGTGTCACGTTCTATAGTGAGCAGTAAGGCAGGCCATTACACTGGTTATATAGTACTACAGACATACTATAAACGAATTATAACATGAAACGCTCGAGGAGGCGAGTCTGATCTCTGATAGACTATCACAACCCTTTGGCATTAAATAATCTTGAATTGTATTACTTGCACTTGCAAATATCCCATAGAAACGTACCAACTTGAACCATTTACACAAAACACCCTCAAATTGAACCTATTTGACCAGCCCATCCCTTCCCACCAACAGAATCGAGACACTACGATAGTCTAGCTATCTACTCCTACCGTCACAGTGATATTACCTTTCCAGGGATGATAAAAAGAGAAGTAAACTAAACTCTTAAGTCAGACTCTAATCCAACATGAGGGCATGTTGTCAAAGAAAGCCCCGCGAATAGCAACTAATGCTAATTAGACATGACACATGTCATTGCGGATCACTAGGGGTCCTGACGGAGATGAAGGTTTCACTTTCATCCTTATATTGACTTCTTGGGGGGATTATTCCCGAGGGAGTAGGTGTGTGTGTGCGTGCGTGTTACTTCTTCTTTTTCATTTTATTCTTCTCATTATCCATGATCATGCTTGGTGTTAGTGTTGGCGTTGGTATTGAGAATGGGATGGTAGGTCGACTATGCTTGAGATACGGAGTGGCTCCTTACATATGTTTCAGGTGTCTACTAGTTCTCTTCACAAATACTGGAAACGATATATGAGATATTTAATAGCGAACTGGATAGCTATATTCAAGTTGGAGGTCTGTTTGGTTACTTTTGTAATCGTAATAGTATCAAATACTAGAATCTATGAATGCAATCATATCATCTTTTCCATTGTACTCAGTCTGAAAATTAATGGTTATCCCCATATCTCTAAATGACCTCTCATCCGGATACATACTTTTGATTCTTAGAACTTCACGCATACTCAATCGTGACTCTTAACAGAACTTCTCCTACAGATTAGCCAACACGTAAGAAAAACAGTAGTTTATCTCAAAGTTTCCCTCCAAGCTGAATTTAACTTTTCTTTCCTGAAATAAAGCTTCGTGTGGCTGTGTAACACTCTATCCGTGACGTTGGCTGTACAAGCTTCATAATGGGATGTACAGTTTTACCGTTGGTCTGCAGACTTTGTATGTTCAATCTTAGACTTGCCAATCGTCTTGGCAGTTGGTTAAGTTTCAAAGCTAATCGTGAGTAATATGGCTTGGTAGAGAAGGTATACTTAGGAGTTGGTGCTAATTGGTTTGGTGTTACTTAGAGAGTCGAAGGTAAAAGTGGTAGTCTTATCTGGTGCCATTATTTAGCTGATGCGCTGGAAGTAGTGTCAGTATGGGAAGCATAAAAAGGACTGAGTGATAAGTAATATGCATTTGTCGAGTGAGTAAGTCTCTTAGTTTCACTTAGCTCGTGCAGACTAATAGTGTATTGCAGTCCCTCTGCTCCTTCTTCGCTTGCTCTTCTAGCCATAGTATATGCTAATTAAAAGCACTAAAAAATGAGAAAGATATTGCTATGTTCCCATCCGAATCATTAACATGTTACGCATATAGGAAATAGACCATACATTGGACAGAAAAAGCAACACAACTAGACAGGTCAGGTGATAAGCGCATCTGTCGTGAACCAGAGGGGTCGAACTTTTGACGACCGGTCCTCTTTCAGAACCTCATGCAGTGTCATTATGATGGTAGTAACCCGGTCGACTTTACTTTATGTTGTACAAGCTTCAAGCCACCGTTGTGACATATCAGGCATCAGAGACAGATCTCACAAGCGCGTTTACTTATCGGTTTCAGCATTCACAGCAGTTGAAAGAAAGTCGGAAAGCATGTGCGGTGTTACATTAGAGTCAGCTGTCCAAGGTCTTTTCGCTCAATGCAGATGCAAAATAGCCAGCTGAAAGTGATCTTCTCTCTAGTACGTATCAGAGGTGAGTGACAGTGTGACATATTGTGCATGATGTTCGGCTCATTCTGGAGCCAAAGCACTCTGTGCTCAGATGTTCTTGGTATCTATATAATATAGTTTGGCTGGCTGTGGTGGTCTCAGTCCACATGCTATGCCATATCAATAGTGTCGCAATTAGGTGCTGACATCAGCTAATGTGCCCCGGTTTCGACAGACCATGGTTAGAGGGTGACCTGAACCGATGTGATGGGTCTAGATGGCCAAGAGGTGGTGGAGACGAGCGAGGGGTATCTCCTCAACTGGATTGGGGATTGGCAGCATCGAAGAGGGAAGTTTGTAAACAGTTACGTCAGGAGCGAAGGACTGTTGTCTCACAACAGAACTATAAAATCGATCAGTAGCTCAGCTCACAAAATAGGGACTTCCTACTTCGGACTCTAGCATAAATAGACCTCTCCAGAAGTACGAGAGTGATGAGTCCAGACCATTATTCCTTGTAGCTTTGACCCCTGGATCAGCGGACAAAGTACGCATACCTATCTCCAGGATGTTTGTGCTCGGTGTCCCCTTAGATAGGAGAATAGATAACCCCAGCTCCCCTGGAGGATGAATCCGAACGAGATGACCTCATTCCAACACTCTTCGAGCATCCAGGCCAGTCCATTCCCTTCCTAAGATGGCTAGTAGAACAGGTGACCAAACTGGCATGCACTGTCAGCAGAACCAAGTGGGTCGACACCACCATTACACTCGGGATCAGAGGAAGAAAAATGAGGTTAAAAGCCCAAGATATCTCCCGGTAGTATGCATGCCCTACAGTAGTACGGGGCCCCCTCCTCTGCCATGGCTGACCCAGTGCCCCCCTGGTCGCCCGCACGGGGATGGGGTTGTCTGAAACACAGAACAGGGATTAGCCTCAGCAAGGCAGCCCGTATTGGCCAGTTGCAGTCCGGGTCGGGGACTAAAGTCTGACTCTGGTTAAGATGGGCGAGGACTCAGCGCTTAGGCGGGCATGTAAGGTAATGCATGGTAATGATGCAGGTTGCATTCTCACTAGCGGTATCATTAGGCTATCTCAGACCTGCCTGCGAGCGGCTTCAATGCGCGCGCGGTTGCAATGTTTTCTTCAAGGCTGCCATGCCGTGTCTCCGTCGTGGAGGTCCGGATTGAATCCGGAATCTTGCATGAAACCTCCGATTATCGAAGCCGCCCGTTGCATCCAGGCGTGTGATGAGTGTGATGGGGGAAGGTCATCAAAGGCAGACAATGGGGCGCAGCGCTAATCCAAGGTCATGTGAAGGAAGAGCCTTTGCATTCCGGGGGGTAATTTTCTGGGTTAGCAGGCATCGTACTTCGTATACAGTCTTCGATGGATGCAGATGCAGGTAGGTAGTTAGTAGTAGACCGCGCAGGAGAGTAAGTTTAGTTAGTTAATTGGCTAACTAGTTACTCGTCCCGCTCATCTCATCGCCCATATGACCCGAGGCTAAGCATGATGTATCTGATAGTAGTGGGGAGATTCTTCACTACCAACTACTATCGACAGGTAACTAGTCAAACAATATTCTTCTAGTTCGACTCTACATTGTTCCAGCGGTGCCCCTAGTTCCCAATAAATTCTCCGCCCATTATGTCATGGTGGTTCTGCAGAAACTTCGCCACAGTGATGTGGCTCAAAATGACAGCAGCGACGGGTGAGGCGCAGCAATCGGCCATCGCCGACACCGCCGTCAGTCAACTCACGTCTTGTCCACCAACGGGGCTTTTCCTGTTGCCTGCCTGCATCCTGCATATCCTTGCTTGCCTACTCTCTGCTGCTTCATTTCTTTTTTTATACCATTTTGCCGTCTCTCTATTTGCCCCATGAGGCGATCCATGCCTCTTTTTTTGACTCCAGCCTTGCTAAGTATGTATAGGCTAGGGTCCACGATATGTCATAGTGCGGGCCATAACGGTCGTTCCAGCATTCCGCATCCAATCTGATGGGTCGCATGGTCTCTAGTGCACAGCTGACGACGCGCTGGTTGCTTATGCCGCATTCTTGCGCCAGACTGACTACCTTGCCATCTGGTGCCCGGAACCGACTCCAGCCGACCACAGCGATGCGCTCTGCCATTGTTTCCTCTCGTGCCTCCATCCATCCAATCTCTTCCCATGCCTGGTGAGTGTACTCCGCTTTGATTGAGTCCATTGCTGGGCGCGTGCTGAGACCGAAGTTTAGCATTGTCTTGCCTCACCCATTGACCCCAGGCACTGCCGCTTTTTGGTTGATGCTCCGGCCCTGGTTGGGTTGATGCCGTCCGAGGAGGGTCGTGCAAGGTCGGCTAGTCTAGGGGATGACATGACCGCATCTATGGATGAACTTTTTTTTCATCGCCATTTCAGCCAGTCCCGGTGTCGCCGGGCGCCCACTACCCCTAAATACCAGGCTTGTGCATTGGCTTGCCACAGATCCATGTGCTCGGAGTTTGTGCCTGGTCATGGTAATATCTCCAGATTCCGGTGTCTCCTGGATGACACGAGCACAAGCCAGGGCTCTCAGTCAGCCAACCATGAAGCAGCGGGTGGGCGTGCAGACTAGCGACAAGTTCTACACATTAGGGTAGTTCAGGGCAACGCGAGAAGCGCATGCATGCAGATCGGGGGGAGGTTCGACGGGAGAAATCCCCTTTTCGCTCCCTTTGTGCTGCGTGTAATAACGGAGTATCATTTCTTACGAGGAGGCCTCCCGTCCGACTGACTTCCCATTCGAGAAAGTCTGG